ATTACTAGACCGTTGTATGATGTTAACCGACATGGCAGAAAACTTTACACGCACTACGAGAAACCCGAGAACTACCGCAAGAAACGAAGATGTTGATAGAAATTCAGGTCGCAATGCGACTGCTAACTCTAACAATGCAAATAATACCTCAACAGAGAGTGAACGAAACACCACAACCGTCACTGGAACCGACGGCAGGCCAGCGCATGGTGGACGGTCTGCTCAAACAAGATCGTCACCGAGTATGCGATCATCTCCGTCCTTGAGAAGAAGATTGCAATCAAACCTCCGCTGGCGCCCTGAGGATGAACTTAGAAGGCGGTGTCGTAATCCAACAACCGCTTACCGCGTAGCAGCACGGTTCACCAACCGATCCCGTAGAGACTTCGCGCGTGCTATAGAGATAAGCGCTACCCGACACGAAATACGTATGAGAGCCATGCAGGTTTTATCGATTATGTTTAATATGATGATGATGTGTCTAGAAGAACCAGGGCTTAGTCAACTTATCATCAGCATGTTACGGACTCTGAAACGAGCTTTAGCGTTAACTTGCCTACTTGTTATGTCCAATAGGAATAACGGACGGCCAGCTACGAACCAAGCTCCTGCACCACAACGCGTAGAATCCTTAGATGTTGTACGCATTCAAAATGTTGACCATAATGTTGACGTGAACGTAGATGGGCCCGACGAACAGGCTCCTAACAATGCACAGAATGTCGCGCAACAAGAGGTGACCCGACTACGGCAGACTGACAGTAACAGTACCGAGACTCCGTCTACATCGGCGTCTACAACTGAAACTGTCAAAACAAACAATAACAATACAAATCCACAGGAACCCTCAACTTCCAACTCCACTACTAGAGCTTCACAAAAATGGAGCGATCGTCTTGCCGTCCAAATCGCTGCAGCTAACAGAAACAATTCCGCAACAGCAAGAAACAGAAGAGATTTGTATATGGAAAGTAGAAGGTTGAAAGCTTTGCATAGAACTAATCCTACTGCCCATCCTCTCATTAGAAAGAGGGTTTTACCACCAGTATCAAACTACAGAATACCAGCATTGCGAAGCCTTCCCACGCGACCCGGCGTAACAAGATTCAGAAGTCCAAGAGTAGATGCATTAAACTCTAACGAACCTGTAGCGGGGCCTTCAAACGCTCCACCCCCTGGAGAAAACGGTAACCTACAGGAATCTCCTGGTAGCGAGCTGATGAACGAATTTGAGCACAGGGTAAATTTCATACGAATAGCTCACATGCAGGCTGTGAGATTAAGAAATGCAGCCAGAAATAGATTTAGACGCCTACAGACGATACGTCTGTATACGCCATCGTCGGTTCGAGAGATGTTCTCTCTACAGGCAAACAATGGTGACACTCCTCCAGACAACCGCTCGCCAGGCCCGAGCGGGTCCGCGGAGGGCGGCGGCCGGCACCCGCTGGCCATGTTCCGGCCCCACATCCTGTCCTCGCGCGCCGACCCCGGCGGCCGTGACGACCTCAGCCACCAGTTCCATACCGTACTCAACAACGTCGCTATGCCGCTCATGCACATGAGCGACCTGCCCGGGAACGATGCTCCTGGCACACAACGACTACCCAGGATACACGAATATCTGCAACCCATCATTTTGGCGCAGGTAACTCAGAATTATTTGTTTTAACTCCTCGATTATAAGTAATATATTTATTAGAAATGATGTTAAGTCGTGTTGCATTCTGGACTCTGTCATCTAGTTGGAAGCATCCCAAGTGTTGTGACCTTGACTTCATTGGATCGTTTTATGCCTTAGAACGCTATGGTAGTGGAGGATGAAGGTGGCCACGGTGAGGGGGGCGGCGGCGGTGGCGGTGGCGGGGGCCCGGGCGCGCGCCGCCTGGCGGGGATGGCTGGCATGGCGGGACTCTTCGACGCCGGCATCATCTCTGAAGCACTGCCCGCACCCTCACACCGCGTGCAAGCTTGGGACTTTACTACTGGCCACACGCCCGAGATATCTGATAGTAAGTTTCATATTTTAGCTTGAAACATAAGCTGGTTAAAAGTAAGTTTAACATTTTGTTCTTTCTTAACAAAAAATTATGTTATCAGGTACTAAGAATGTAGTGGTCCAGCGATGTCGCATCCACAATGATGCCAGTATTGACATATCTAAGGATGGTAGACTACTGGTGGCCCTCCTTCCGGTGCCTAGACTGAGGAACACGAATCATTGGCTTGGTGAGTTATTGTAAAGCAGCAATAGTATACAGCAGTTTAGTATAAAGACGGATGACATAAATACATGTGTGGCATGGCAGGCGTGTACTCGCTGGAGTGGGCTCGCCTGGGGCAGTGCCTGCACACGGCGGTGTTGGAGCAGAGCGCGGTGTCGGTGGCTCTGTCGCCCACGGCGCGCCACCTGGCGGTGGGACTGGGCTCGCGTCGCTTCACCACGGCGCCCAACGCACGCAGCAACGTTATCGCCCTGTTATACAAGCTCGACCCACTCGGTACGTACCTTCCATACACCACCTAACACAATTTTCAAACCGTATCATATCCTTACATCATAATGGGAAATTGAATCCTGCCCCAAATCAATTACTTACTTCTTTTCCGATTTATTTCACACTAATAAATGTTTTGTTTGAATTTTTAGAAAGTTCCAGCCGCACGGGTCTGTCTCCTATAAAAGAGTTGGAACAAAATTGGGAACATGGCTTTACTAGCCTCAATTGCCTCCGCTGGGCACCCCAACCGGGGCAAGGGCTTGTCTATGCCAACAACACTGGACAACTCATTGTAATGAGCTAAGTAGAAGTATCATGACATTTGATTACAAGCATAGACTCTGGACACTGTATATCACTGCCACACTGACTGCTGTTTTTGTGACATTCAGTAAATTAATTTTTACGCATTTGTGGCAAGTTATTCAAGTTTATAACTACTTAAATTCTCTTCTGTTTATAATTCATAATATAATTAGAATAAAATCGTATTTGAAAAATATCGTTAATAGTGTCAGGGCAGACTTTATTCGATTTTAAAATACATAGTTTGTAAAGTCCAATACCAATATTCTAAATAAATTGTAATTGATCTCGTGAATTATTGGATTGGAACTGATTGCGCAAGAAATATTTGTGGTGTGATAGGTAACTCAAACTAATTGTTATGGTTATTGTTCCAAATCATAGTTATAACTTCAATGCTTGTATTATTTAACGCATTAATAATGTTTAGAATATAAATGTGTATCAATGCGTGTGACTCGTAATACTTGATTGAAAGTTAGATTCGTCGCCAGTCTTTAGATATTTATTCTTAGTAATAACTGAATTCTATAAATTCGTAGCACTTTATTTTTTAAGACTTTATCCCTTTTACATAGGTATATATCGTTTGTGTTATTGTTATGCACTACCTTCGATATTTCGTGGTAAAATTATTTATGTTCTTTATTAAAATTCCATTACAAATGTAAATGAAATCATGTCTCGCTATTGTAACACCGTTGTTCATTTTTTTTTCTTTATTCTTCTGAAGGTAGTGTGTTTTCAGTTCTTCCATTTCTTATATTATAATGCAATTCTGGCGCGGCGCCATATTTTAAGTTAAATAAAGGAGTTTTTCGGTCCTAATTATAATCCGCCATTGTGTCATTTCTTTCTATTAATTTATAAAACATCTTAGACTTAAGGTTTTTCTACCCGATTCGGTTTAAGTTCCATACTTGAAAATATGATATATGGTTATCTGCTAGGCTATTCTGTGTCTATGGGCTATCTATATCATTAGTTGTCAGAATAATCTCGACTAATGACAGGCAAGAATGCGATAGAGCTCAGAATTCCAATTGACTTCATTAGCCTAGCAGCTTGTAATTTCTAAAAAAATGTCCGGATTCACCAAGCTTAAGTCTGAGACTGATTTTCCCGCGTTATAGACTGATAAACGATTCAACCAGGGTACAACGGGTAGTTGTCAAGTATAAAACTTAAAGAGGGACATTTTTTTTCTTATTTTTAAAATTTGACTTGTATTTTATTAATATGTAATATATTTACTACAACATTAAGAGCCCAACGTGCGTTTAAAGCCATCACTGGTGTTTATCATGAAACCTATGTTTGATGCCAAAATGGAATTTGAAACTCGCTTGACTACTACATTGGGTCGAAACCTGTTGGAACAAAGAAGCACTAGCAAGTTGATGTACCACACATTACTTTGATGTACTAACACTAGTTGTTTTTATTTGATGGTACTTACATTCTTCTGCTTTAACTCCCACTGAGAAAATACAGTATGAAACTCTATGTAAATAAACAATATGTCTATCATTGGTTGGGAGCTAAAACATGGAATTAGACACCATTTGTATGGCTATACAAGTTTTATCAGTTTTAACTATGGCTAAGCAAAGAAGGTACTATAGATAGTTTGGCAATAGTTTGATTTCCAAGACTGACATAAAAAATAAATTATCGTCAGCTTTACAAACAATCAGCAGAGAAGAGACCTTGAAATACTTAATAGTAAAGTTACTCACTTATATGCTATGTGATTGTAGTTGTATGTTTAATATTGACTTAACTTTCATGAATTTGAGGCTGGTTTCACTAACTCTGGGTAGCCACAATCTACTAAACAGTTTTTGAATGAAATATCTGCTAGTCAAAATTATCAAGGAGTAGTGAAACTGGCCCCTAGTAATTATGTCGACGTAGGTCATTCTCATAGCCTAAGTAATCTCCTGGTTTTGTGACTACTCTATAACTCATTGCTTATTTATCGTGTTAGTGATATTGTCAGGGTTTCTTATAAACCTAAATTGTTTACAATGTTGTACTTACCCTTATATTTTTAACTTGTATGACGACGTTTTTTCAGGTCAAGTCTAGAGAAGACAGTGAAATTTACCATTGCTAAATACTTAGTAACAACTGATAAAAACATTCTATGTTAGCAAAAACTTAATATTTAATATATTAACTTTCAATACATTGAACGTACATACCATATATTGAATGTTTTAATTGTTTCCCCATGCCCTAACTACTGGAACTCTGGTGGACTAGATTACATTGATATTTAATGATAAGGGATCACAAATTGGGTGTTTAATCTTCAAGTGAACATATTACGTGTATATTATGAATTAAAAATCTTTGCATAAAGTCTCATTACATGATTTCAACATAGAAAATAAGATATTTCATTTCACTAACTTTTTATATCTGAAAAATACTTATTTCCCGCATTACTTTCTTGTTTTTTTTAACCATCAACATTTTCAATCATTACTCATATTTATTTTCTAATAGTGATGGTAGATGAAAACCTATCTATTCCTAATAGTCTTTATTAGCAAGGATGCTAATACTTGCTAATCTTTATTAAGTGCAACGTTTTCTATACTTTTAACACTATTTCATACTATAATAGGCTTGCTACTCTTAGAAAGCAAATACAAAGATATGAAACCTAGTCTATTCAAACACTTGTGTAAGACTAAAACAAGAAACTAAATATTACAGTAAATGTTATTATCTATTAATCTTGCGACATTTTCTATTCTGTTCTATTCTACATATCAGTTACCTTGTAGGATCTCAATTATATATCTTACTATACTATCTTAGTCCTGTTTCACAAAAACATAGTCATCATATTCGGCGGATAAACTGTCTGACCTTTTGCTGTAAATATTTTTATTTCTTCAAACATTTTGTGATAATTTGTAAGAATAGATTTAAAATACAATGTACAGTTTTTTAAATAAGATTCTATGTACAGATCCTTCATGTGTCTAATAAAGTCCTAATAGACAACAGAAATGTTTCATTTCATCCCAGCTTCCATCCTGTAAAGGGGTTCTTAACTTTAACATTTGCATAGAAAAAATAAATGAAAATGATATAAATATTGTATTTATTCCGTTTCTATAGAATGTAATTGCATTAATGATGCTGACAAAATAATAATTACACATTAAAATATGATACAGAAATTTTGAAAACTTATGTTACCTATCTATATATAATTATTAAATAAAAATATACCTGTGAAAATTTAGCGAACATGAATTAAATCAAATGAATTGACTATGCATGAAACAAATGTGTTAAGACAATAAGAGTATAATAGTTTAATGTTCAAAGTAAATAATGATAATATTTCTTGATGTAATTAAGACCAATACTGATAAGAATGATATACAATATAAAATATATTTTCCTTCATGTTCAACAATTTATATTTCTGATATTGATTTAAATACAAAAAATAAACATTACAAAACGCTCCAATTTAAAATGTCATATATACAAATCTCCTTCAAAGATCATGTTTACCTGTATTATTTTAGTCATTAACCGAAGATAATATAAAAACTTAGGGAACTTGTAGACTAATGTGACAAAATATAAAGATAAATATTTCGATTGTGACTCCGAAGCTGTCACTAAACACGTCATAAAAACTAAAAATGGTTTTAACAACTTACAAAAGATATAAGTCAAACCATAAGTAACACTAATTCCTACAATTGTTTATTAAAAATGTTAATTTGCTCGTAGCACAAATATACTTTCCCTGACTCATCACAGACCAAATGTAAAATCTATTTAGATTTCCAATGTTTATTACTGAACCTTGTGTCATAGCGGCGCCGCACAACACCCTCTGGTGACTTAGAAGCATTTAAATATAATAGCATCTATAACTAACTTCTTTCTGAGGAGGAAGTGGCGATTTAATGAAATGCAATAAGTGTTAGTGTTCCGAAGGCTTGAGTTCTTTAATTTGCTTTATAAGGTAAGCCTTTTCATCATTGAACTGCTCATCCTCAGAACGATCTGTGTGGAATTTGGTGAGGAAGTCTACCAATTTATCTTGATTCCTTAGCAAAATATCCAATATTGGTTTAGGTTTATTAGGGTTGGCTACAAATACCTGAAACAGTAACAAGTTTATATCAAATACTGTTATGTATAGTCAATTTCAATCATATGATAACAATTATTATTTATTTACAGCCAATACAACTGAACTCGTCGAGTACCGTCATTATAGACACAATTATAGAAAAATAGGTTGCGGTCACCGGTGACCGCTTGGTGTTTGACAGTTTAATAGTTACCTTAAAAACATGGAAAGCCTCAAACTGAATGTTACGTGACTTCTCTTTCAGCATATTCATCATAAGCTTAAGATTATCAGGGTTGGTGATGTAACGTGTCATTATAGAGAAGTTGTGGCGGTCCAGTAACAGTTCTCCCAACAGTTTCAGGCTCTGCCGTCGAGTTACATAGTTCTCAGAATTGAGCAGTCGCTGATAATGACTGAACACTTTATCATAGTTTGTTTCTAGAAACTCAGCACACAACATTTTATGTCGCGTTAGCAATTCCTGGAACATAAAAAGAAAAAATATAATATTTTTCCAACATTTCAAATATTACTCATAATCATAAGTAACAATCATGAAGTAGGTACATGAATAATCTAATATGGGCACTTTGCCAATTCTTGTTGTACATGTTATGCAGATTTTTGTAGTACTTTACCATTGCAATAGGTAATTGATTAAAATATAAATACAAAACCAACCTTAAAAGTAGAAAAGGCATCTGAGGCAATATCAAAAGTGGAAACTTCTACATAACGGAAGAAATTGTAAAAATCATCTGAATACAACATTATTTTAGCCAAAGCCTCATATCGGGCACACTCTCGTAGCATTGTTCCACAGTTGGATGCTATCTCCTGATGTTCATACCTGGAAAAGAATGCATTAAAATTATGTTTTATTTACCCTTGAATTTTTATTTTGCAAAAATGATATTGCTTTAATCATCAAACATATCACAAGTTTTTTAATTGAACTAGAAATGGAAAACATTAAGGGAAAAAGGATCATAAATTAGTTAAATAACATTTTACCCACCCAGACATCAAAGTAAACAGTATCTCAGGCTTGGTGCATATGTACTCAACTGTGGGAGATCTGGTACCAATCTGACGTCTAAGCACATTGTTGAACACTTGGGCAACATCCTTCTTGCCTTCAAAGTCAATGCGGTTTAGATTCTATAGACAAATAACATGAGTCATTAAATATGATAATATATCACTTGACAATAAATATTGATTTTATATGCAATTATCTGATACCTGGATGAGAAGTAGGAGCAAGTTAGTGTTGTACAGTTCCTGAGCTAACTGTGCTACTATGATATCCGTTTGTGGTTCGGCGTCGGAAGTGCCATATAGCATGTTCTTTATCAAAACCTATTGACACAAAATCAACACTTAAAATTGTCCACTTAGTTACCGATCTAATAAAAGAGCACCAATCATTGTTCAGCAACAAAACACTTACCAGATTTTTGCTTACATCTTCTTGCGCTTTTTCGGCTTTCTTATCACCCCTTTCTAAAGCAGTAACTGCATCTTTCAATGATCTCACAAGCTCCGCTGGGCTCTTTTGAGACTTACCAAAAAGAGGCATATTCTTTCGATAAAATAGACAGATGATCTAAGCAATACTGTCTACATAAGATTGTACCTGTAACCAATGAATCAATGCGTATGATATTAACACAAAATCAAGTATTTTATGCGATTGTTCTTGATATTTCACGAGAATGCAGGAGAAACGAAATTTGTCAAATTTATAAAACGTTTGCCGACCTGGCGTGAAGACACTGAACTATAAAACAATGTTCAATTTGATTTAATTTTACTTAGATTGATGATAAATCCACGAATAATACTAAATATAACTCACTTTCAGATTAATTATTACAATTTTCCCTAGCAAGACAGACCACACGAAACGAACAGCTGTGATGTCAATAGAAATCTGTCTTGCCAATTTATAAAAAAGTCTAATGTATAGAAAATATTCTCGTATGTCGTACATACGTTATTGTATGCACATATAGCGTTATCATATACTACGACTACTATGAATACAAACACGATTACGGCGGCGTATCCGCCGTTTTCATGTTTTATGCAATCTATGATTTAATAATTATTTTAGTATAGCAGTGTCCGATATAATAGTACTACTCAACGTTGTTGCCATTAGGTACCAAAACTAAAATTAGGTGAAGAATCTAAGAATAAAACAGTTGTACATTTTACATTTGAACTCTGACCTGACACTATTGGTGAAGATTGATACTAGGAGAAGGCACAGAACATTCAAGTCACATTTAAGATAGTGCAGTCGTGCCATTCAGTGCAGTTAAATCGCACAGTCCATAGCCAGCTTTAAAGTGTCCGTGTGCACTATTGCCAACCGCTCTGTTTACTCTATGAAACATGATAACGTGTCAAGACGTAAACGTCAAATGAAGTTTTAGGTTAGAAATTTCTTCTTATTAGAGTTGTAGCTGTTAGCACATTTTAAAACACTACTTTAAAGTCATGGCTGAAACTGCTAGTGAAAAGTTATCAAAAAAGTGAGTATTGTGTGATTAAAAATGTTTGCCCTCAAGAACTTTTGTACCTTGTCTGTAAAAACTAACAATTTGATCAACCGATGCGCCAATCTATCGTCTGCAGTCAGCAAACGGTTAGTAATATTTCATAGTATATTAAGTTCATTAATAATACTTATGCGTTATTCTATATTGTCGTTTTAGTGAATTGAAGCGGCGGTTAAAAGCTGAGCAAAAGCTGAAAGAAAAGGCTGAAAAAGCCGCGCAAGTTCCAACTCCCGCAGCCGACAAGAAGTCATCGGCCAAAGCTGAAGAGGAGATCAGTCCTAATGAGTATTATAAGTTGCGAACTGCAGCTGTTGCAGCTCTTAAAGAGGGCTCTAAGGAAGACCACCCATACCCTCACAAGTTCCATGTTACAATATCTTTAGAAGAATTTATTGAAAAGTACAATAATGTCAACAGTGGTGAAGTTCTTGAGAATGTTACACTCTCTGTGGCTGGTAGAGTTCACTCTATTAGAGAATCTGGAGCTAAACTCATATTCTACGATTTGAGAGGTGAAGGGGTTAAAATTCAGGTGAGATTAAAAGAAATTAAAAATAAAATTTACAACCCTAGTACTTATTTATTTTATCTTATAAGTATCACTTCAAGTGAACCTTCTTTGCTATTTCAGGTTATGGCTAATGCTAAAATGTATGAGTCTGAAGAAAAGTTTGTTAGTGATACTGACAAGCTAAGGAGAGGTGACATTATTGGATGTGTTGGCCATCCTGGCAAGACTAAGAAGGGAGAACTGTCCATTATACCAAAAAGTATTAAGTTGCTATCTCCATGCCTACATATGCTGCCTCACTTACACTTTGGTCTTAAGGATAAAGAAACCAGGTTTAGGAAAAGATATTTGGATCTTATATTAAATGATAGGGTAAGTTTATACTCTTAATACCTTTGTATATTTACTGTTAATACACAAACAAAACATAATTTCTTAAACCTTTGTTTTTCAGGTAAGACAAACTTTCTACACTAGAGCAAGAATCATTGCTTATGTCAGGAGATTCTTGGATAACCTTGGTTTCCTTGAAATTGAAACTCCAATGATGAATATGATTCCTGGTGGAGCTACAGCCAAGCCATTCATTACACACCACAATGATCTCAACATGGACTTGTATATGAGAATAGCCCCAGAACTGTATCACAAGATGTTAGTTGTTGGAGGTCTGGACCGTGTCTATGAAATAGGCCGACAGTTCAGGAATGAAGGCATTGACTTGACTCACAACCCAGAGTTCACAACATGTGAGTTCTACATGGCATACGCAGATTACAATGACCTCATCAGTATAACTGAAACAATGCTATCTGGAATGGTTAAAAGTATTCACGGCTCTTACAAAGTAAGTTGATATCAATTTGCATGGTATAAACAAAGCATGTAACAATGTGTCTTATTGTGCAACTGCAGTAATTTATTTATGTATTGTACAATGAATTCATGTAATCTCTTTGTTTTCATTTAATTACATCATAATAGGTTATCAGAGAACTCTTACTACATTGATAGTGATGCATTCTTATGTGTAATTCTGATAGTAAATAACATAGTACTTAGATAAGAATTGTATGAACTATGAATCAAATTAGACTTATGAATAAATTGACAATTCTGCCATCAAATCTACACACATTATATCAAAAGTAAGGGTTTACTAAAATATAAGTTTTTGACAGGTAAAATATCAACCAGATGGACCAGAAGGTGAGGAAGTGGAGATTGACTTTACTCCTCCATTTGCTAGAGTGCCTATGATTGCTAGCTTAGAAAAGGCATTGAATGTCAAATTTCCACCAGCTGATCAGTTAGATTCAGCAGAAGCCAACCAACTACTTAGTCAGTTGTGTGAGAAGCATGAAGTAAGTATTATAACAATTCTCAGTTCTACATATCATATATTTCATTAAAATTATAGAACATTTAACTTCACATGACAAAGTTTTACTTACTGAAATTTAAATTACCACTTGTAGTAGACAAAGTTACAAAAATCTGTTTTATAGCCTTCACAGATACTTGACACAGGTGGTTTCACTATTGTTTATAATGACTATTAAAATCCAATAATCTTACACAAATATTGATATTTTTCAAAGATTCAATGTATAGTGTATATTTACACATACTCATTGGTTTTATTATATTACAAGAGTATATTATATGTTTGGTAACACAGGGTAATATTTTATTATGTACTATAGCCCAATATAAGATTTACAAGTGATAAAAAAATTGATCAGAGATTATCTGGAACAAATCAACCTTTTTTTTTTTTTTTTTTTTTTAACCCCAAGGTGGGAAATCCTCATGGAGCCCTCTCGCCTGGGGAGGACGAAAGGGACTGTCAGACTCTTACTGACTAAAACCCACCCCGGTGTCCCGTCTCACACGTGGGTACGAGGGTGCGGGAGTCACATTCATCCGCAGCCCCCGAACTCGTGGCGGCCTGCCTTGCCAGGCCCCATCTCAAGATGCACGGAGAAGTGAGGTGTTGGTCTTCTCCGTGCAACGTCTCGGAGGCGCGCGTGAACACAACGCGCGCCACCGTCTCGGGTCCTTTACAACGGGATGACGGGGACTTCCCCAAGTCCACCGTCCCCGGACCCATTTAGGGGGGTTGAAAGAGAGCGATTTCTGCTCTCCTTCGACGCCCGGTACGCCTACTGCGGGAAGGTAGAGAAATTGCAATTTCCCTTTCCCTCTCCACAGCCTCCTTCCGCGACATTACATCTTCGCAGAAGGACACCACTGCATCCCACGACTCTGCACTGCCGACCATTTTTTGGACAACAGTCGACAGTGACAGATCGTCACCGATCTCTAATATGAGGGCACGACGTGGCTCATCCCAAGCCACACACTCCATAAGGGTGTGCTGCGCCGTATCCTCCTCACAATGGACGCAGTGATGGCACCGAGCGTTTGGCTCCCTGCCTATGCGACACAGGAACTTTCCGAAACACCCATGCCCCGAAAGCACCTGCGTCACTCGGAACGACAGGGTGCCATGCTTTCTCCCGAGCCAGTCGTCGAGTACTGGCCGGACCACCTCGATGAAGTTGAGTCCAGCGGTAGGGCGTTGAAGCCTCTCCCGCCATTCCGCCACTAGGACCTGACGAAGCTCCGACCGGTGCGATTCTATCTGTCGTTGCATCAGTGGGACACCCCGTTCCTGCTGTTCCTTACGCCACAGATACAATGACGCAAGTACTTTCGCCTCGAGGTCCCAGGGCGGAGATCCGGCCAATACGCAAGCTGCCTCGTAGGAAATCGTGCGATAACCCCTAATGACTCTGACGGCCATCGCCTTTTGCGGTTTTCGCAATACTGCAATACTACCGGCCGTCAGGTCTGCCGCCCATATCGGGGCTCCATACATGGCCATGGATAGCACGATCCCTACGTAGAGCCTCCTACAGACAACGCTCGGGCCCCCTAAGTTGGGAAGCAGCGTTGAAAGCGCACCCGTAGCACTCATTAACTTATGCGCTAGCCGCTGAAAATGAGGACCGAAGTCCCAACGGCTGTCGAGCACCAATCCTAAATACTTCATGGTGGGCTCGACTGCTATTCGGGTCCCACCGACCACTAAATGAGATTCCGGCGGTGGAGCGCGTCGAGGGCCATGGAACGTAATGGCTTCCGATTTGTTGAGGGCCACTTCCAGACCCAGGCGCCGGATGCGGCTCACCACCTGTGACACCGCTGCTGTGGCTAACATCGCCGCCTCCCTATAGGAACTCCCACGGGCGGTGACTAACGTATCGTCTGCGTAACACGTAAGGTCTGCACCCAACGGAAGTTCTCCTCTCAATACCCAATCGTATCCAATGTTCCACAAGAGAGGCCCCAATACTGAGCCCTGTGGAACACCGCAAGTCATGGCTCGCTGATTTACGCCATCATGTCCCCGGTAGGTGACACACCTGCCATCCAGGTAATCCTCTACTATGCGACGGAGGTAGGAAGGCACACGGTGATACTTCAGTGCCTCCCTTATACAACTCCATGGCAGGGTGTTGAATGCGTTACTGATGTCTAACGATACTGCTAACACCACCCCGCCACGGGACACCGTTTCCTTCGCAAGGGCTCTCACTCGCCTTATTGCATCTATGGTGGAGCGCCCACAACGAAATCCGAACTGACAATCGTCCAGATCTGGCCCTTCCGTGCATAAGTGGCTAACTAGACGACCTGCAATGATCCGTTCCAAGAGCTTACCCACCTCGTCTAGTAACACTATGGGGCGATAAGCAGACGGCGATTCTGCAGGGCGCCCCTCCTTTTTGAGCAAGACCAATTTCCCCACCTTCCACAAACTAGGAAACTGGGCCTGCGCTAGGCAAGCCGTGAAGAGCCCTCTTAGATGGGGCTCGAGCTCTTTTAGTGCGAGAACAAGAGCTCGACCGGGAATGCCGTCGGGTCCGGGTGCCGTATTTTTTACCCGGAGCCGGGACACGACTAGTCTCATCTCTTCTTGTGTCACCTCAGGGACATCGGTACCTTCCTCTTCTATGAAAGACTCAGCTACAGAGGACGAACCCATCGACGGTGGAACGTGTTCGGCTTGCTCAGGGAAGAGGGCTGCCACCACATCTTCCAGTAGCTGTGGCTGGAGACTCTCCGTGAGTGGAGGCGCCCAGGGGCGTAGTTTGCCTCGTACCATGCGATAAGGGCGCCCCCATGGGTCTTGATCTAGGGTGCCCAGCATCTCTTCCCTAGCTCGCGACTTGGATTCACGAATGGCCTGCTGCAGAGCCTTTTTTGCTGTGCGATACACCTCATATCGAGCGATTTCCTCATTGGTGTCACTTTGACGTCGTCGTCGATATCGAGTGAACTGCCGACGGGCTGCCACACAAGCACTACGCAGCTGAGCTATCTCGTCCGTCCACCATTACACTTGGCGCTTGGATGGCAGTGTGCGAACCCGGGGCATACAAGTGTCACAAATTTTTATCATCGCATCACGGAACCACTGCGCCTCCGCTTCAACGTCAACGGGGCCATCCGTCACCGACTCCCTCATCCAAGCCTGTACCATTGCGGCCTCTTCGAGCAATTCTCTGTTAATACGTTTCAGCGCCCAGCGTGGGCCATCCATCATGATTGATGACCTGCGGTCGCCTGTAGTCGATACGGAGACGTCAAACCGAATGTACCGATGGTCTGACAACGTTTCTACTTCTACAGCGACACGCCAGTTACAGACACGACGTCCACTATGGACCCACCATGTTGCCGCACACATGTAAGTTCTGAGCCCTGATTCATAACGATCAAGCCAGTCGTGACAGCCCACTCTTCCAGCACATCGCCTCTAGAATCTGTGATTGGAGATCCCCAAGCCGCAGACTTAGCGTTAAGGTCCCCAAGCAACAGCAGAGGGCGAGAGTGATATCGGTCAACAACGGTACCTAACTCTAACAAAAAACTCTCGAAATCGGCAAGACTCTTATTAGGGGAGAAATATACCCCTACTAGGACGATGCCATGTGATACAGCGACAACCCAGCCGCGACCCCGCATCGATTCCCCTAGAGTACCTCCGATTATAGCCACCAAACCATCCAGACAACCCACCCAGTTATCCCGAGTCGGAATAAAGTATGGCTCGGCGACCACAGCCGCATGAATCGACCACTCCGCCATACTCTGGAGCAGAAGATCCTGAGCTCTGGCGCAGTGGTTGATATTGCCCTGGAGGAAATGGAGGGGTGCCATTATTTACATTCCATTCCCTCAGCATCGGTCTTAGGCCGCGAATCGGCCGTAGGGCTTATGATCTGCAAGGGTTGCAAGGTTCGCCCGACAGGTTTGCCCTTCTTCTTTTTTCTTTTGTTTGTTGTGTTTGAGCGCTTGTGCTTGCTGGCAACAGCACCACAGGCTTGACCGCCTAATTTATGCCCAGCCGGCCTGCATGCAGCTGTACAAAGGCTGCAATTAGGCTCGGCAGAGCACAAAGCCGCCTTGTGACCTGGTTGTCCACAGCGATAGCACCAATCGCTGCGATCTATTTCAGCAATACATTTGACTTGGACATGCCCTTCCTCGAGGCATCGGAAGCATCGCCGAGTCCGAGGTTGCAGTAGTTTTACTTTAGCTGCAACCCACCCTACTAACAAACGCCCGCTATCTGCGATCGTTTTCGCTACCATAGTCGGGCACCGCACCCAGATCATACCAAGACCAGAAGCATCAACGCGAATATCCCCAGCCCGCACAGTGTCGGGTGAACACTCGCCAATACGAGCTATAGCCGTCACCACCTCTTCTGTGGTTACGGAATCATCCAGACCACGAATGTGCAATTCTGCAGTCTTCGTAGGTCTGGAGACTCGAACGTCATCCAGATTTAATACCTCTTTCAATTTGGCAGCAAGAAGATCCGCTTTCGCAACGCTGGAGCTGGATGCACCGGGAACTTCAAATAACCTTGCACCTGTTGCTGTTGTCTTGAGCGTAACACATGGTAAATCAAGTTCCGAGAGCCGAATTTTTGCCTTTGCTTCTGCAATCACCCTCTTATAGGTCACACCTCTTTCTTCAGCTCCTGGCTGTAATGTGACTGTTACAGCTTCAGAACGTGGGGCTCGAACTTTTGGCGACTTAAGTTGATCCCCTTTTTTTACACGTTGCGTGAATGCCACTTTTGTGGCTGCAGCAGATATTTGCGCTGCAGCCGACGCCGTTTTAGCCGCTTTTCGGACCTTTTTTCTACCTACAACTGTGGCCCAAGTCTCGTCCTTAGATCCGGGAAGATCCACAGTTGTAGAAGTTTGCGACGGAATGTCAATAGTAGGCTTTTTTCTTGCTGGTGCTGGTCTCGGTGACTCATCCAGTCTCCGTCTATCTGCTGCAAGCGGCGGTCTAAGATTTTCGGCAGGAAGCCGCTGAGTGATGGCCTCGAGGCGTGCATTCATCATACTTCCACATTGGAGCATGCAGATACGCACAATTTGCTCCACCTCTTCGTCTGTTCGTTGCAGGGCCGGTGCCTTTACAGGGACAGCCACTGATGTGGGGGTGAACGTAAGCCCCGATGTAGATGCAGGCGTAGGTGTATTGACTCCAGTGGAAGAGGTAGTCTCTCGCTGCTTCTGCTGCACACTCAGCGCAGCGACCTGCCGCTGGAGATCTTCAAGATCCGATCGAAGGCGGCTATTCTCCTCCTGCAATTTAGCGACCTCTTCAGAAGCCGTTCTTTTGAGAAGGACCCCAACCGCATTTTTTATA